TGCGTGCTTTTAAACAATTATTGAGACATTAAAAAGCAAAATGAAGTGTGCAGTGGCAAAGTGTAATAGCGAAAACAAAAGGAAAGCGTGCTATATAAGTTTTTTTTTCGTTTCCTACGGACGCAAACCTGGCGAAAAAGTGGAAGCAGTTCTGCCGGCGAGGACATGCATTAAACACCAAATCGAGCTTTGTGCTATGGATGTGAGCTATGAGCTTCTACATGGAACTATGTTGGTCTTTCCTTGGTGAATTGTAGTACGTATATTTCCATGGTTAATGTAGACAGTTGCTGGTTTAGTTTGCTGGCAATGGCATACATACAAAAGCAGTTTATACAGTTAATAGATACATGAACTTCACTACCTACTAATTTTTGTTAGTACCTGATTCTTTTAGTGCTGGTATGAGGTAATGCACCAGTGGATAAGGTCGCCAGGCGCTAATTCAAGCGGCATCTTACCGCGCTGTTTCGTACCTAATACAAAACAGTGCCCAAATTATTATACATTTAAAAGTTCAGCTTAAATCATGTTTTACTGACAAAGAATATCTGCTTCCAAAGAAGCCACACTCATGCATCCTCTCGGAAATGGTACAAAAGTCATCAAATAAAAGCTGTGGAGTTTATGGTGGTTGGCTACCGTCCACAAATATAAATATGCACTCTGCATGGCTTTTTAAAATGGCAAGTCCAAAAATTCACTTTGCTGCTCACCTTCCTTTTGGTCTACATGAAATTGAAAACACTGTTAATACATCAATTTTTTCATGTGCTAAAAATCGTACTTATCTAAAGGTCTACATGTCCAAAATTATTGCTACGTGTTCCTAATTAATCAATCTTTGTATATTTATTGATTCCTGCAAAATTGGGCCAAGTAGTATTAAAATTAACACATTTTTCTGCATTGTTTACATATTTTTATATGCGTTTTGGCATTTCTCTCTCGCAATTGCACAAAGATGACGTCACGCAAAAATTACGCTCAAAAATCCTCTCTCATTGGCGCAATCTTGTATTCTATCATTCTTGAGTCAGCCTACTGTGAGTACTTCTCTCTCATCTTCTACACCATACTCTCTGTCCACCTCTATGTATGGCTTTTCGCCTGCTGCTTCTAATTCTTTTGCTGCTGACTGCTCTGCGCCGCCGTCAGCAGTGCCTTATACTTGAAACACAATACCCGGCGAACGGCAAATTTCGCCCAGCAGAGCGATGCCGACGACCAACTTTCGCCCAGCTAATTCGCTTACTGAAACAGAAATAGAGCGGTATCGAGCGGTTCGAATGCTGTCAGCTGATAAGGTGACCATATTTCAAGAAGGAAGCTTTTACAACGAAGAGGGAAAATACCAGCAAGAAGAAGTTTAAAATATAGAAATAGTCTTTAAATATAACTACTAGTAAACTTACGTTTTACTAGATTAATCTCAGGTAGCAAAATATAAGGTATATTATCTTACTTTTAAACAAAAATTACGATAACTTTTAAAGTATGGTCATCATGGCCTTTTTTTGTCGTTGCCGTTGACCGCGGCGATAGAAATAAATCTATCGTCGCGAACAGTCGTCGAGCAAACTTCGCCGTTTGCTTTGGTTGTGCGTGTTCTCATATAAATCAGTGTGTTTTAATTATCTCGGCGAACATTCGCGACGAAAAATTTGCCGTTCGCCGGTGTTGTGCTTCAGCTTTTATGCTTCTGAGAATGCAAAAAGCGTGCCGACAAACACGAGTGTTACTTTTGATGTACCCGTATCGCGTCAGATGGCTGCGCCGCAATCTACTCAAACTGCCATAGCTAATACTGCACACTCAAGTACAGCGATATTATAACCACCCTGGTGCTGCTGCCAAAAAGCCAGTTTCGTTGCCGATTGCTTCTACTCCATCTAACGAGCACCAAAACTCTGAGTGGAAACTCGCAACAAAAAGAAATCGCAATAAGTTAAAGCAACCTTTAGTCATTGGTTCCAATAATAGTTGCGTTCCCTTACTCGCAAGAAGTTGCAAGAATTTACAGGAATTTACCAGAAAGCGTTCCCGTACTCGGTTCTCAGGCTTCTTTTGCCTTTTGACAGTTTCACAGGTTTTAACCCAGAAACGTTGGGGAACGCAACTAATAACATTGAACTGTGTGTCGTTTCGGAGATGAAGTGGGTACATGTTTCCTCCTTCTCGCCTAGTGTGACTGTCGCTGATATTGTAGCTTATGTGTCGAAACATGCAGTTATTAATGAAAAGTATCTGGCTTGCTATATGCTTATCAAGAGGCGTACCTGGCTGGATGATCTTAAAAAAGTCAATTTGAAATTGGGTGTATCAGAAGACTTCTATGAAAAGGTTTTAAACGCCAACATTTAGCCTACCAATGTGAAGGTTCGACCGTTCCGTTTTTCCCCCAAAGACGGGACAGACCTGAGAGAACCATAGAGGATTCTGTTTCAGTTGATGCTCGTGCCAAAAATCTTAAAATCTATTTCCAGAATGTTTCTTTCACACCTAGATTACGATATTTTCGTTCTTATTGTGGCCTAGCTAAATGAGGGTTTCCATGACAACGAGTTCTTCGACCCGAACATCTACTATGTCTATCGCAAAGACCGAGATCCCGTGAAAACTGGACTCTCCAGAGGTGGAGGAGTTCTTATTGCCGTTGGACGGAAGTACCGCTCAACACTTTCGCCCCTCGAAAATGTAGACTCCCTACTGGACCAACTGTGTGTTGCTGTATATGGTACCTCAAAACTTTTTATTTGTGCCTCCTATGTTCCTCCCTCTAATGCTGATTCACTCTATAAAGCTCATTTGGATAATATTTTAGATTTAGTGTCAAAATGTACTAGTGATAATTTTTGTGTTCTAGGTGATTTCAACCTCTGTAATATTGAGTGGGCGTATATGGATGCAAGTTTTGCCCTATTTCCCAGAGCAATTACTAGTTTTTCGGAGTCATATATAGTTGACAGTCTGTTAAGCATTAATCTTACTCAGATAAATTATTTTGTAAATAAGCTTTCTAAAATTTTAGATCTTATCTTATCTTATAAGTGAAAGTATTAGTTTTTCATTGCAAGAATGCTTCGACCCCTTATCGGGCCCCGGTCTACATTATAGTCCACTGGTACTACAGCTAGAATTTTACCATTTTAAAGCTATTCGTGAAGTCAACCACTTTACTAGTTTTTTTTATAATAATTGCAACTTTGAAGTAATCAATAGTGAAATTTCTCAGCTAGACTGGGACTCGTTATTTGTCGGAGTCGAAGTTGGCGAATGTTTTAATACTTTTAAACACAACGAAAGCTGCTTTAAGATACCGTGGTATACGAAAGAGTTAAACAAAATCAAGAATTTGAGAAACAGGTTTTTTAAAAAATTTAAGCTGTCGAGCTCCTTACATCATAAAGATAGATACATTAGACTGGGTCGAAAAAAAAAGTTGCTAATGTCCGCCCCTAAATTTAAAGATTATGTTGAGAGGGTTCTGGAAAAATTTTTTTTTTTTTTTTTTAACCCTCCGAAATACAGCTGAAATGGTTTTTTCGTTGTAACTTGGTTATTTGACGGCCGATTTTTAAAATTGATATGTCATTATTTTTGTCTTGAGAAGCTTCACTTTTCGTTCTTATGTCTTTTTAAGCTTTGAAGTCGCGTTCGCATGATAAGGGCAGAAACAAAATTTTACCCCCCCTAAAGTATATTTTTTTCCTTACCAAACGAAAGTACTTAAAAATTCAAGAAAATGTTGCCTTCAAACTATATTACTAAAATAATAAACAAAGGAGTTATAGCACTTTTAATATCACAGGTCAACACGAGTTTCAGATGTAAGTATAATAACACAGTACAACAAAAATTGATTTTTTTTATGCAACAGACTAACCTAAATTTAAGGATTATGTTGAGAGGATTTCGAAATTTTTATTTTATTTTTTTTTTAACCCTTCGAAATACAGCCGAAAAGGTTTTTTCGTTGAAAGTTGGGTATTTGACGGCCGATTTTTAAAATTAACATGTCATCACATTTCCTTTTAAGCTATGAAGTCGTTTACCCATGGTTAGGTCAGCTAACAAAATTCGCCCCCACAAATTCCTCCAACAGTTTTCTTAGTTGGAAATTTAATCTCACTGCTTTCGTACCAATTTAGGTACATTTTTGCTACGATTTTTCCCAAATTCATACTCTTTGTTTTCGTCGCATCAGCAACCCGGGGAGTGCAAAACTGACGCTGTCAATAGCGAGCTAACCTCTTGTAATTTAATCATGCCAATAAATTTTATAAATTGTGGAAGTCAAAGTAAATAAGTGAGTCAAACCTGTTGTTTCGTATTGATAATAATAATTTATAATTAATACCATAAATTGTGCTGGTGAAATAAAATTAAAAAGTGACTTAACAGTGTGTGCAATTTAAAAATGGCTTTCGTTAAGCGCGATATTGATATTAAAATGTTACCTACGAAACGTGGTGTTATTGAATATTTTTTGTTCCTTAAATATTACGGCTCTGCAAGTGTTCCAAAAAATCGAAGTCTCAATGAATATTTGCCAATAGTTATGAACACAATTTCAAAGTTGTGGCAGCAGGCAAACATCCCTATAGTTACAAGAACTACACTCCGGAGAAACATTGAAAGCCTCCTTCAAAGTTATTACAATGTAAAAAAACATCCTTATGAATATAATGATCAGGAATGGAATAAAATATTGTTAATTTCAAAGTGTAAGTGCATTATGGACTTAAATCGACAATGTGATTGCCCTAGTGCAAGTAGAGTTCCAACCGCGGTAAATGACTTTCTTTATGATCAATGCGGGCCAAGGCTTTTGTCATTAGATAGTGGGCTTGATCATACTAGAACTGACAATTGCTCGCTAGAATGTAATGTTGAAAATCACACTGAAACCGCTGCAAGTTCGATTGGTTATGTGCCTAGCTCAAGTGAAGACAATGAAGCAAGTGAAGAAGTCACACAAAGTTTAAAAGTATCTGTGATGGTACAGCTGTCAATACTGGATATAAAATTGGAGTAAATGCACAAATGGAACGTTATTTACAAAGGCCCTTGCAGTGGAATGTGTGTTTGTTACATTTCAACGAGTTGCCTCTAAAAAAGTTGTTAACGCATTATATTGGCAAGCAGAAAGGACCTGGTGTTTGGCCAGGGGTGTTGGGGTCTGAAATTATGACTTGCACCAAATACCCGGTAGGTTGTCCACACTATAATAGTTAATGTTATAAACAAAAACATATATTTTCCTTATCAGGTTGTAAGTGGTTTTGAGGCTATTGCTATGGGAGTTATTCCTGAAAATATTGGCTCTTGGGAATTACGCAATGATCAGCGTTATTTATTTGATATGGTTTTGGCAGTAAATAATGGTGAATGCGATGAATATCTCGCTAGTAAGAGCCCCGGTCCCGTCAGTACAGCTCGGTGGCTTACAACAGCTTCCAGGTTACTTCGGGTATATGTTTCCAAAGAAAGCCCGTCAGCGGAGTTGCGAAACATGGTAGAGTTTGTTGTGAAAGTTTATGCACCATTCTGGTTTCTTGTGAAGAGCCAGCCACAAGCAATTCATGGAAGTAGACACGTTTTTAAGTATATTTGCTGGATACGCGAACTATCAAATGCTGTTCAAGCCATTATACGTTCAGCTATAGAAAATAATGCATATTATTTTCACCCAGAAAATATATTATTAGCCATGATAACCGACGCTGATCCAGAGATACGTAATGATGGGTACGAAAAAATCAAAACAGCACGTCAATATCCACCAGCAGGGCTTCGCGTGTTCAAGGTCCCAAAGCGTGGCGTAATAAACTTTGAAAGTAAGTCGTATGTCAGCATGATCGATTGGAGTCAGTTTAAGATTACGGAACCCCCTTGTGTGCAGTTCTACCCAGATAGTGAACTTACAATGTTTCAATTTTCGGAAAATGAAGTGATAAATATCCCAGGTAAATATCTTCAAACTAAAAACTTCACGGGTCTTATAGTACTTTTAAATCATTTTTTTTTAGAGTTCCTCTGTCATTCCCAGAATACCGAACGGTTTGTGCGTGTTGTTAGTGAGTCTGCAAGTGCTGTCACTGATGAAAAGCGCCTGGGCCACATTTTTGCAAAATTAGAAAGCCGAGACCAATATAAAAGCTTTGATTCGCGCCAAAATTTGCTTAAGTAGCAATAAATATTGTAAGTGAAATAACTTTTTTGTTGATTATTTTAGTAATATAGTTTGAAGGCAACATTTTCTTGAATTTTTAAGTACTTTCGTTTGGTAAGGAAAAAAATATGCTTTAGGGGGGGTAAAATTTTGTTTCTGCCCTTATCATGCGAACGCGACTTCAAAGCTTAAAAAGACATAAGAACGAAAAGTGAAGCTTCTCAAGACAAAAATAATGACATCAATTTTAAAAATCGGCCGTCAAATAACCAAGTTACAACGAAAAAACCATTTCGGCTGTATTTCGGAGGGTTAAAAAAAAAATAAAAAATTTTTCCAGAACCCTCTCAACATAATCTTTAAATTTAGGGGCGGACATTAGCAACTTTTTTTTTTTGTATGGGGACCGACCCAGTCTAAGATACATACATTACTCCAGTGAATTTAAATCTCTAAGTAAAACACTTCACAGCAATTATATTCGTAAATTCGAGTCGGACATTAAATCGAACCCGAAGGCTTTTTGGCGTTATGTCAAGTCAAAGAGATCGTGTTCCAGTATTCCCTCGAATGTTTTCCTTAATGGTGCTCATGCTAATTCCTCCTTAGAGGCGGCAAATCTCTTTGCTGATTTTTTTAGTTCTAATTACGAGAATGACTCGTATCCTGATAATGATAATTCCTCACTTATTAACTTCCCGATTAATTTTGGAGCACTGACCGTAACGCTTGGTGATGTAATAGAGGGTATACTGCATATTAAATCATAATCGCAAACTGATGTTGATGGATTTTCCTCCTGCCTTTTAAAGAGATGTCTAGCTTTTGCGTACCCGCTTCTTTTAATCTTCAATAAATCCCTTGAATGTGGTAAATTCATTGATGCTTGGAAAGTGACATCCATAACACCTATTTTTAAATGTGGTAACAAAAATGACATTACCAACTATAGGCCAATTTCTAAGTCAATCAACTGTTTCAAAATTGTTTGAATTCGTGATAAAAGAAAAATTATATTTCGCAACCAAGAGGCTAATTTCAGTCAACCAGCACGGTTTTATGTCGGGCAGGTCCACTGTCACAAATCTCGCTGTTTTTCCGACTTCTGTCTGTCTGCTTTCAATAAACGTACTCAAGTTGATACCATCTATACTGACTTTTCAAAAGCTTTTGATAAAGTTATTCATTCTCTCGTAATTGCTAAATTAGCCAGTCTCGGTTTCCATTCTGTTTTTCTCTCTTGGGTAAAATCCTACCTTTCGGCGCGTAAGTGTGTAGTTGTAGTTGATAACCTTTCCTCTAGGTCGTTTATCGCCTCCTCTGGAGTACCCCAGGGAAGCATATTAGGCCCCCTGCTCTTTGGTTTATTTATTGGTTACATTTGCAATTGCTTTACGCACTCTAAATTTCTTTTGTATGTGGATGACTTAAAATTTTTCGCTACTACACCCAGAAAAAGGTTTATTTATAATAACCAAGATTTGGTTATAGTGATCAAGTGGCATAGTTGGATATGGCGAAATAAATATATAGTTCACGAAAGTCGGCAATTTACTTAAGACTTCTAGTTGGGACAAATGTATATTTGTTAATAATTACAAAACGACTACCTTGATTGGACAATATTGTTAGTTGAATAAAATCATTGTTGAGCAAATATAAACAATGCTTTGGTTGATACAAGTTTTCAATTGATTTTGTGAACTTGCTGTAGACTTGAATCAGCTAACCGTTTATTATTAGGAAAAAAGTTTCAGTTTGACACAAATAAAAATTTACTCGATGTTTGTTGTGTTTACTTTCTTCTTTTATTTGCATATATTAACCATAAAAATACGTACATATTTACATAAGTTAGTTACTAAAGTAAATAATACATATGTATATGTTGGTATGAATTTCCAAAAAAACAAAACGATGAAACAGGAACAGTCGTGCGAAAACCCAGGTCAATATCTACTGGAAGTATACTGCCTTGCTTTTTCCTTAGCTAAATAGACACTTTCAAATTATAATTCACGTGAATTATATATCCACTGAAAAACCCCGGTTGGCATCAAACTTTATATTTTGAATTAAACTTTAAACTATGCGCGCACCGAAACAACTCGCGATGATAGCAAAACTGAAACTGAGACAAACAAGTATGGGCATGTCATAGCACACATGGCGCAGCGATCGACATGCCATAGCTTACTGAGCGCTCTGGGACCACATGCGTGTTTCACCCATATACGAACAGCGGTAGCGGAGCAATGATTTCCACGCACAATGCAATGGTCGGCATACTAGCACATTCAAACGATTCAATAAGTGGGACTGTGTGCATTGCTCAGCTGGCGCTCTTCGTATGTGCTCAGAGAGCGCTCAGCATTATTTAGGGGTGGCTCACAAGCATGAATATGTTCCACTCTCAAACCAAATCCTGGTTGCATCAACTAAGATTTGGTAACTATGACTAAACCACGTGTTGAAAGAAAGCTTATCTGCATTAGCAGAGCTTAATAACATCCTTTTATGAACCATACGTTAAGTTGAATGGAATTTGTAGAAATATGCTTCAAAGAAATATTTATTAGTATTAACCAAACCCTTCAACTAAATTAACGATTTGTTACAACCTAGATGAATATTAGAAGCTTTAATATATTTAGTTATAATTACCAATCGATGGTAATAGTTCCCAATCCTTGGTAACAGTTCCCAAATATTGTCAAAATTCGGGAACTAAATATCTTTAGTTGTCGAAACTAATCCTTTTTCTCAGTGTATAACAAGTCAGTTAGATGCAGATTTGCTGCAATCTGATATTAATAATGTTGCTGAATGGTGGAATAAAAACGATCTTAATTTAAAAATAAATAAGTGCTTTCATATCTCTTATTCTAAGTCCCGTTCTCTTATTTCTACCTCTTTTCACATAGGTAATTACCGTTTAAAGAACCTAGAGGAAGTCTCTGATCTGGGTTTGGTTTTTGATTCAAAATTTCTGTTTCAAAGCCACATAAGCTACACTATAGCAAAATCTTATTCTATGCTTGCTTTCATTCGCCGGTTTAGTTCTGATTTCTCAGATCCGTATACCCTAAAATTACTATATAATTCTCTCGTACGATCGAAACTTGAATATGCTGT